TTTAAAATATGCCATTGCTGATTAGAGGAATGAGGAATAAAATGCTAGTCTCAGTCTGGGAAACTACTGGTAAAGGGAGAGGAAGTGGGGAAAAAAAGAAAAATGCAGTAAGAAAAAATCATTGTTTAACTGGATCTCCTTTTGTCAAGATGTTTTAGAAATTATATTCTTCTTCCAAAACAATATTATAAGGGGCTATTTTTCCTTCATTGCTGTTTGTTTTGTTAAGACCTTGTGATCAGAGTGCAAGGAAAGTTTTTGCCACATCTTCTTTGTTTCATGTGTTTGCCAGAGGAGATCTTGGCCAACTCAGGGATTTTCCATCTGTTGTTCCATTTGCCTAGAGCAAGTTTCCACCAGAAATCTGCTTAGCTCACTTCTACTTCCCTTTGGTGTTGACCTTACAGAGAGCTTCTCCATGAGAATTTCTGTGACATGTCTATCTAGTGTCCACTTCACATCCACATTTTATAACCTTCCATGTTATTTTTATCCATATTTTATCATCCCCATGTTTGAATTCTTCTTAGTACTTATCATATTTGTATCCCATCCCCTTACTATTATGCATTATACTCACTTAGTTTTCTCTGTGTCCCCCAATAAAATGTGAACTCTACAAAGAGAATTTTTGTCTGTTTTGTTCATTGTTCTATTCCCTGAATCTGGACAAGTGCCTGCCACATAGCAATCATTTAATATATACTTTTAGAATTAAAGAATCAATGAATATATGGGTTAGAAGAGCAATAATATCAGAATTTCAAACCAGGAAGTGTGTTATTACAATGTCCACCATTGAAATTATTTTACTTTTTTTCCCCCCAGCATTGGACATCGACAGCTTGTCTGTCTTGCTTCTACTTTGCTTCCTAAAACAAAAATTCTCATTTTGGACAAGGCAACAGCCTCCCCTCATTTTGAGACTGATAACTTGGTTCAGACCACAGTCTAAGGGTTTTGTGTTTACACGATCCTAATGATTGCTTACAGACTGTATTCTATTATTGATTCAGATGGATATGATCACATTCTTTTTCAAAACTAACAATTCCTACAAAGGTAGATATTGGGCATATGAAACAAAATAAATGCCACTAATAAAGTATTTTGCCTGTGCTAAGAAATACAATATTTTCCTAATATTATGCAAAGTCCAAAAATAGAAGGAAATGTAAATGATTAAAAAACATTATAAACTATCTCTTGAGTAAAATATTATAAACTATCTCTTAAGTAATACTGATATTTTGAACTGAAATAACTTGTATGGTAAGTTAAGCCTTTTTTGTTGTTGTTGTAAAACTTGCCTTTAATGAATGTCACAAGCTAGAGAACTATATGAGGCTGCAGAGAAGTAAACAGAGGCAGACAAATTCATTGGCCAGGGCTGGAGACACAGGTGAGAAGGATGGTCCCTGGGGACCTTCGCCTGGAACTTTTGAAGTCCAACTGAGGGCTGTGAACAAGTTGCTAACTCAGTCTACAGAGGGCTTCCAGTCCTAGCTGGAAGCCTGTCCTGACTTCCAAGGCTGGGTAGGTGCCCTCCCAGGTGCTAGCTGGGGTTCACTTCTTTTGGAGCACACACTTTGCTTATGCTCTGCTTCCCTATCTTCCTCTCCTCTTCTTCCCAACACTGTGGGGGCAGGAAACATCTGTTCATTGTGGGGGCCCCAGGACTTTTCATGGTGCCAGGCATATAGTAGGGATTTAATGTGTCTCGTAGTGTCCCTTTTCTAGCACTGAGATTGTGCTGACACACTGTGCTAAGCACTTCATATATACTGATTTAGTATTCACATTAAGGCTAGTGTTGTTTTTTTGGCAAAATGTATATAAGTAACCATTTAGCCCTCTGGAGTGTACAATTCAGTGGCAATAAGTACATTCACATTGGTTTGAAATCATCACTTCCATCCATCTCTAGAACCCCTTTCATCTTCCCATCCTGAAATTCTGTCCCCATTAAACAACTCCCTGCCCCTACCCTCTGTCCCTGACAACCACCATCAGACTTTCTGTCTCTATGAACTCAAGGACTTCAGGAACCTCAAAAAGTAGAATCAAACTGGGCCTTGTGGTACATGCCTGTAATCCCAGCACTCTGGGAGCCGAGGCAAGAGGTTTGCAAGTTCCAGACCAATCCAGGCAATTGAGCAATTTAGTGAGGCCCTGTCTCAAAATAAAAAATAAAGGGCTGAGGATGCAGCTCAATGTGAAGGCCCTGGGTTCAATCCCCAGTACTGCAACAAGAAGAAAAAAGGTGAAATCATACAGTATTTGTCCTTTTGTGACTGTCTTATCTCACTAAGTATAATGACTTTCTTTCTTTTTAAGGCTGAATAATATTTCATTGTGTGTATATATATATATATCTTACATTATATATATATATATCTTACATTATATATATATATATATATATATATATTACATTTTATTTGTTGGACATTCAGGTTGCTTCTACATTTGGGCTGTAGTGAATACAAATCAGGACTTTTAAAATAATTACATAAAATGTGTATGGAGGCTAAAATTGTGCTCTAAGGTACCCCAAATCATAACATTGTCCAGAGGCAGAAACAGGTCTTAACTTCAGGCCTGTTGGAGGCTACATTTTCTTCCATTCACAGAATGAATGAGACCCTTAGGAAGGTGTTAAATTGTATTAGTTACTTTTTTAAGATCAAAAAGGAGAGATTAAGATGAGGTTACTTAACTGTATTCTTTTTACATTGCAGGGTGCTTATTCTAGACTCTGGAAGAATTACAGAATTTGAAGCACCACAGAATTTGATACATCAGAAAAGAATACTTTTTTGGAATGACAGAAGCTCGAATAACGCAAGATGCGGGGACAAAAAATGCATCTGTATGTTGATAAAACTATAGTATATTAATATTTATAAAATAATAATGGGGAGAAATGCAAAAGGGTAAGACCCTAGAGTTGGCACATGTTCCATAGCACAGTAGTTCCTAACCATCCTGGGCTGTACTCAAGTCTTCTCACCTCTTCAATGCTTTCAAATGTGTGGCCCAAATGCTAAGTGTCCTTGAAGTGTCAGGAGTCACCTCCCTTCAGCTCCTCTTTCTGCCTTTACTTTTCTACCTTTTCTATCCTCTTACTTGCTCCATGTGCACAGCTTTCTCACAGCAAGGACCATGTTCTATTTTAATTCAAGTCTGTGTCCCTTTCCCCTAGAAAAAGCTACTTTAAGGCAAATACCCATTTCAGTCATCTTGGTTGATAGACTCCTAACACAGAGCCTTGCACATTGTCAATACTCAACAAATGTTTGTAGAATGATGAACAGAATATGAGTTTGTAGGTGTGTGTGCAATGAGCTACTGTAGCTTATTTTGATGGAGGGATCACAGAAGCATAAGATATTGAGCTGCTTTTTGAAAATAAAAGGAAAATATTTGGGGTAATTTCATAGTAACTGAGTTTTGTGATCTACTTCATTTAAATATGTTTTATATTTTTACCATTTGCTTTTGAGTAAAAAAAAAGTTTTCTATGGAACTATGGAATATCATTTTTTGTTGTTGCATCAACCTCGATATGAATCAACTAGTATATATTTTAGATTACTGATTTGTAGCACTAATTATATTTTGGAGGGATTTTTCATTTCATAGTTTTATGTAGTAGAAGCAATATTGTGTCTGAATTCCCTTCAAATTCAAACTGTTCAAAGTGTAGTAGCATTTTCCGTTCAAGATGATTTTAATAAACTATTTTTACATATTCGTTAAGGCCCATGAACCAATTTTTGTCTTTCTTCTTTCTCTTTAATCTTATACATAAAACTTCGCTTCATTTCCTGTGTTTATGAAATTGCCTTAACTTTAAATCCCTATACTATCTAAAGTCTCCTCTTACTAAAATATAAACTATTTGAAATGTCTTAGCTTTACAGTTTTTGAACTTTTGGTCCATATTTTTTGACTCCATTAAGAAAGGGTTCTAGATATTTCATAAATACCAGTTAAAAGATGTTTTAGCTCTTAGTCCATTTTGTGTTGCTGTAATAGAGTACCAGACCGACTAAGTGATAATAAAATAAATTTATTTTGGTCGTGGTTTTAGAGGAAGGAATGTTGCATGTCATCTACCTCATTGTGGAAGGCAGAAGGGTTAGAGAATGAGAGAGAGAGAGCGAGAGTGAGAGAGAATGGTATTAACCTATTCATGGGGGCACACCTCTCTTAAGCTAAGGGCAGGTGGGCTCCAAGAAAGGGATGAATCCAAGACAGAAGCCAGTCCTTATTTAATTTTGGAAGTGACATTCCAGTACTTCTGCCACATTTTTCATTAGCAGTGAATCATTGTCTTCCCCAAATTCAAGGCAAGAGGATTATCCAAAGGCCTATACCAGGATGTGGGCATTACTGGGAGCCATACTAAAGGCTGCCTACCTCAATGAGACATTGTGTATTTATTAAATTTGAAAGTATCACTATATTACATCATATATTTGAGTCCTTCACCAAAGTACTCCAAATAACAAGAAATTGCAAGAAGTCATCCTGAAGGAGATCAAGTCTATATTCTACAAGTGCTCACTTGAAAAAGATTAATAAAACAGATTTAAAAGCAAATTGTATTTTTCTCCAAAGAAAACACAAACTATTAGAAAATTAAGTATTAAACATCTAACAGAGTTACAGTAGTCTTGTTAAGAAGCATCATTTACTAAATATATAAATAAGTTTAACTCTTGGTTCTATTACAGTCAGAAGTCATGAACTGGTATTCAGAATTTTAAGATACTGTTTCTCTGATGTAGGCATTGTTTCTTTTAAATTAGTAAGTAGAAAATATGTCAGAAATCTCAGAGATAGGATGCAGAAAAATGTACATTTCTGGAATTAAGCAAAAACTACTGAGGTTGAGAGCCACTAGCATCAGATCAACTCTATCCCCACATCTGTTTTTACATACTTCCAAAACATACACTAGCCTAGTCCTGAATGAAAAATAAAATACACTGTTTAAAAAAACTGCAAAATGGTATTTATTTACATTCCAATATGAATTACCTATATATACAGATTTAAGAGGCACAATCTGTTCTGTACAGTAATTGTTATGTTCACTACATGTTACACACAGTAATACCTGTGGGTTAGTGGTTTGAGTGAAAACATAGTACCAACACACTGCTCACACAAAATAAATTACTCATTCACATATTCTAATCACTTAGTATATTAAAAATTATATACTTCAAAAAACACTAGCCAAATGTGCAACAAAAAAGTTCATTTTATGAAAAATTGTTATGCATAACCCCTTTAAGAATGCATTCTTACCTTTAAAATAAACTACACTGACATCAATATTACATATATACAGCTCCCTAAAACACAACAGAAGACATAAATTCCTGTTTTTAAAGGTATAACTATTCTAGAGAATATGCTAAGCTATTGTCCCCAAATTCCAACACTGCCATTCTGTTTTTCAGACACAAGCTATTTAAATTCCAATTCTAGTAGGACATTAGCTGTCCCGTTTTGGAAATTGTTTCCTTTTAAAAGTGTTAACAGATTGCCTTGAACCATATCACATATCTGAGAAATTCAAGCTTTTCTTTTTTTCAAATCGTAAAATGCTTTAGGTTAAAGCTGATACTTCATGTGGCGTTTTTGAGATAAATTCAACACTTTTTTCTCAAAGACTTTCACAAAGATATTCTAAAATCTTAAAGGATTTTAAACAAAGTCCAAGAGAATACTTGATTATTTTCATACTTCAGTGAAGGATTCATCTTTGGCATTTCTCCATTATTTCTAAGAACAATATTTTATATTTTCCTATTTCCCTACTAAACACATTTTCTGTACACAAAAGTATTTGATTGAAGTTTATGTTTTAACAGCAATTTCATTAAGGAGTATTTTTCTTTTTAGATATGCAAAAAGTTTTAACACTATCTTTTTATTTTGAGAAGCTGAAATGTTTTGATGTTGATGAATTAAATTTGCTTAATTCTTCAGTGACTGGAAACTCACTATCTTTTCAAACTCAACAAGGGATAAAATAGATACACTCTATATTAATAAAAAATGTAACCAGAATATAACTTCTGAATATTAATATGAAGCCTACATCAGTGAAGGAAAAAAGAATGTTATCTTCAAATCATGGCAATTGAACTGGTATTTTTTTTTTCTTGGTCCTTGTGGCTTATCTTGAAAGAAACAAAACAAAGCAAACACAACTTCTATAAATGCTGATTTGTAGAAAAATTTTCTACATTGCCTTCCACATTAGAATTATTTTCAGTATTCATAATTTTCTTGCTCTCATCACATACTCAACATTTGGATGAAACTAGTACAACTATTTAAAATAATATAAAATACCAGACCTTTATAGGTTCAATTTGGTCATTCAAAACTAAACATGGAGGAAAATCTCAGTAAAACTGAATAACATTTGATAGGTTAAATGCATGCGTGCTATAGTCCCTAGGGCTTACTGAAAATATAAACAAAATAAAAACATAAAATACAGTAGGAATTAATTCTATTTACCAGTGTTTGCAAAAGTCTTGGATAACAAAATGAGATAGTAATGGTGGCTTTATTATGATAATAGTACATTTTAAAAATGCAATTAATAATTCCCTACTGTTTTCTAACCAGGCAGAACCATGGAAACCCAGAGAATGATGCATAGGAAATGAAGGAACTACAATATAAATTGGATATATCTATTATCTACTATAGAAAATTTGAATAACTGTAGCAATTTTAGAAACAAAATAAACTTGTGTCTTAAATAAATTAAAATAATCCAGAGACTATAGATTGCAAGAACATGACACTTAATGGGACACTGAATTTGTGAAAGTAAATGTGTATATGCCAGCTAATAAGTAATACATGCATCTTAATAATACTGCTATCTCCCTCCCCATGTAAATACTTGTCATCAACACTGTCCTTCAAGTACAGACCAAATTAAGTTAAATGTGATAAGCAAGTAAAGAAATTACCAAGTCTTACTAATACAATTTAGTAAGAACCGGCTATCTTACAATTGGCACTATTTAATGGTAAACACATATGGTTGTCTATTTTCAGAATCCAGAAAATACAGCTACTTATGTTCCTGTGGAAAGTTTTACCTCAATTCCAACATTTTTGAAGTACTTGTTGGAATGAGACCTCTCCAAAATCAAATAGGATCAATTTGGTCTCTTCTAATCTAAAACAAAATGTTATGTAAAATTTTCCTACATGTAAATGTTACCTTGTAGGTAAATCTCTGAGACACTTTAGAGATTTTCTTTTTTGGAGCAAGTGGTCTGTTAAGGGAAAAGATCACAAATAGTCATCATTGCTCCAGAATTCAGTTGAAGTTGGTTTTTTGTAAATGCTTATTGGGAATTTCTAAAGCACTGACTTGCAGAGGCCAAGAGCCTCCATCAATCCCTGCTTGGATAGCCACTCCTGTCACCACTGCCAGGTCAGGGTCTACAGATGTGTTGGGATCCTTCCCAAAGAACTCTTGAATGACTTGGCGGATTCGAGGAATGCGAGTAGAACCCCCAACTAAAACCACCTCATCAATCTCAGTCTTGTCTAGGTGGCCTTCTTTTAATACTTGCTGAATGGGCATGAGGATTTTCTGAAAGAGATCTTCATTGAGGGCATCAAAGAGCTTCCGGGATATTTTTGTTTCAAATAAAACTTGATTTTCTCCACTTTTCTTTTCAGAAAGGCCAGGTCCAAATGCTCTGTTCAGATGGTAGCCATCTGATGGGGTAAGTTTGTCCTTTGGCTGTTTAGTGTTACCATCCTGAGGTTCCTTTCTGTCTTTTTCCTCCACAGTTAGCAATACTGATATCTGAGCAGACTGATGAAGGGTCAGATTTAATTTGACCATTTCCGCAGCTTGTCTTAATCTGTGGATTTCCTCTTTCCTAGAGGGGAAGAAGCCATATGTTTGATAGATCTGTCTATATAAGTACTGAAGCAACCTCTGATTGAAGTCCTGTCCTCCAAGTTTATTGTTTCCTAAGTGAGAAATAAAAAGTTTTATTAATTTGTACATTCATATATGTGTGTGTGTGTATTTATATTTATGTGTATAAAAATTATATTCTAAGAAAACAAATTCCTTGTTAATATATTAGGCATGGTGGCACACGCCTATAATCCTAACACTTTGAACTTGAGTTTGAGGCCAGCCCGGGCTACATAGTGAGACTCCTTCTCCAAAAAGAAAAAGATTCTGCTCCTTGTTAATATATTAAGATTTTATTCTTACAAAGACCGATTAAAAAGTGACTTAAAATAATTTTCACCCAAATATCTAATATTTAAACAATGTACAACAGGATTGAAAGTTTTAAATGATATAAAAGGAAATACCTAGTGATAACTTTTTATATTGAGAACACAGACTGGTTTATTGGGTAGCTATTTAGAAATACTACATGTCACTAAAAAGTGCTTTTTATAACTAAAAAGTAGCAGTATAGTTTTCTTTTCTTCTTTTTGCTTGCATGACTAAGAGCTAAAAAAGAGAAAAGATGATTTAAAGAAAGAGTAGTATACTTCTCCAGCATTCAACTTGGGTTGAGAAAGAGTCCAGCTAAGAGAAAGAAAAACGTAGATGTTTCAACTATAACTTACAGCTCAATTTTTCAAATAGTCTTAATACCTTAACCTAACCTGAACAAACAAAAACTTGAAACAGGAAAAAGATTTAGAATCTTACCGCTTCTTGGGAAACACTAAATTAGATTTTCTAAATGTACCTATTTTATAAATATGATCAAATAAAGTTCATTTTAAAGGAATGTTTTTCCCTGTTTCTTTCACCATCACTATGAAAGCCCTAGGTGCTCCAGACCTGGCTGTTTAATCTGATTTATGGGATATTCAGTCATTTTTGTTTTCGAAACTTAAATTTCTTCTGTAAATATACACAAATTAGTGGCACAAATAACATATACAGAAAATTATAAAATGAAGTCAAATAGTTCTGAAAAAAATAAAAAATAAACATATTATACATTGGTATTTTAAGGAAAGCACTGCTATAGCCTCTAATTCTTACGGTTTTCTTACCAGACATTGCTCGAGTGAGAAACATTCCTCCTTGTTTATTCAGTAAAGACACATCTAGAGTTCCTCCTCCTAAGTCTATTACTAAGACATGGAAAACATCAGCCTTGTGGAGACCATAGGCCATAGCTGCTGCTGTGGGTTCATTTATTACCCTCAAGATCTTTAGTCCTATAAGATTGGTTGGAGGAAAAAATAATTCATGAGAAAATGCTGAGAAATTCTATCTCCCTCAATTTCATAAGATGTTTCTCTTTTATGACATGAAATTCACTGAGTACCAGAAGCAGTCACAAACTTAATAGAAATAATGAAACAGGAATGATACACGTTCTGTTAAATACCATGGTATCATTAAAATTATTCTAAAAAGTTTCAACATAAAGAAATAAAACCTGAGGCTTAGTGAAGTATCTATCTCTATGCTATTTAATTTTCAAAATCCCTCAACCTTTCCTAATACTTGTATTCTACTTGGGAATACATAAGCAATAAAGCTTTAATTAATATAAATGATAACTAATTGCTGTGAGAGATAACTTTGTCTTATACAGTTAAAAGATCAAGATCCTTGAACAAAATTCTTGCTTTAAACTTTTACACTTAAAAAAGTGGTCTTCAAAATAATATGACATTATCTCTCAGGAGTCATAACAATATTTGAACTTTAAAGAACTCTTCTTAATATCTTTCTCTGTAGCTCTGTGACTTCGTAACTCTGCATTGGTCACACCAGCTAACTTCCTATCCTCTATCACACCACCAAATTCCCACTGTATTTTATTACACTGTTTCCATTCCCTATATTGTCCACTTCCATGTGTCTCCACGGCTAAGTACCTTGCTTCTGTCAAGTCTTTCTGAAAAAGACTTACCTGACCAACTTGAGGAAAAGAGTAAAACTTAAAAGTCCTCATCCCTGACCATCACCAGCAATCCCTTTATCCTGCTCTTCTTTTGTATATCATGCTATTTTCCCCTTACACATCTTATTGGTGTTTCTCAACTACAGCTGATTTTATTCCCAGGAGACATGGCAATAAATGAAGGCATTTTTGATTATTATCCCTTGGTGGGGAAGGATGCAGCTAGTATCTACCAAGCAGAGCCTAGACATGCTGAAAAGTACACGGTAATGCACAGGATAGTTCCTTGCAAAAAAGAATTATCCTGCCCAAAATGTCAATACAGTGGTACCTCACTTCATGAACTTCACTCTTTCAGCAATTCTGGTCGCAAACCCAAATGGATGAGAACTGAATCAAATTTGCTCATAAGGTCTACATTGAACCCAATCATTAAATTTGATTTTATGTTTATTTTATGCTTATTCTGCTTCCCTTCAAATATGAGCTACATAAGAACAGGATTTACCTGTTATTTGCTAAGGCACTCAATATTTGCTGAACAGAATAAATCGCTTCAGATTTTTAAAAAAATATTATATTCACTTTAACCTTGAGTTTCAGAAGAAAAAAAATCCCTTCCTACATGTGTCCATGTATTCTCTCTCAGCCTTTGTCATGTGTCTGACAGGCTCTTCTGAAATACATAAATTGTTAAGAGCTTTCACAATTATCTTGTATAAAGCTATATAAAAATTTACCTAATTTACCTACTACATAGTTTATGTGCCTACAGCTGTGATTTACAAAGTGATAAAACTGTCACATAAGACTTTCAAACTACATAAAAATTTGAGAAAAGTACAACTCAGGCAAGGGTGCTGTCACCTGCAAGGTTAGCAGCTTCAACAGTTGAATTTCTCTGTTTTAGGTCAAATTCTGCTGGTACAGAAATTACAGCATTAGCAACTGGCATTCCAAGATATTCCTCGGCCATTTGCTTTAATTTCAACAACAGTCGAGAGCCAACATATTCTGGGGAAACGGTGATGGTCTCATTACTTGTCACAGAAAATTCAGCCATTCCATCTTTGTTTAACACCTGTGAAGAATATTTTAAAAAAAAGTGTGCATATACATACATACATATATAGTTACATACATACATTAACTTAATTAAAATTTATTTTATCTTAAAAAGTTATACCATTTACTATAATCTATCCAGTACATTTGCTAAGACTAGAGCTTATTAAATGTTACTTAAAAATGTACAAAATTAATTTACATTACAGTTTTCAAGAGTACAATAAAATTCACTACCAAGTATACAACACAGAATATTCTCAGTACATATTTGTTTAATGAATGAAAGAACGCCTTGCTTTATCTGCAGGGGAAATATACTAAGATTCTCAATGGATAACTTTTCACTTAAAAAGGCATTTTATGGCATTTCTAAATTGCCAAAAGACCTTTTCCAAGTATCATAATACCTTTCCTGGATCTCTGTGACTTCATGACTGTGCACTGGTCACACTAGCCAACTTCTTGTTCTCTATCACATCACCAAATTCCCACTGTATTTTGCTACACTGTTTCCATTCCCTTTATAGTTCACTCTTGCATTTTGTGGTCATTAAGTAAAATAAGGGTTATTTGAATACAACCGAATGGATATCTCATCTGATAACCAAGATGGCTACTACTAAGTGTCTAGTGGGTGGGTAGCATACACAACAGAGAGAAGAATGATACAATCTAGGTGGGACTGAATAGGATGGTAGAGATTTCATTCTGCTACTGGGAATGGTGTGCAATTTAAAATTTATAAATGATTTATTTCTGGAATTTTACATTTAATATTTTTGGACAAGAGAAAGTAAAACTGTAAAATGCAAAATCACAGATAAAGGTAGACTAATATGTAAGGGATAACAGTTGCTCAACCATGATTGTAATTTAGGATCTTCTCTTTTTCTTTTTTCCCAATTAATTTGTTTCCAAAACTGATAGCTATCTAGGCAGGAGGTGGAACCACTGAGCTAAATCCCTGACCCTGCTAACAGTTATCTAAAAGAAAAATTTTAGTACTTTATTATGTTCTTATCCAAGAAGTAAATATCACTTACCTTCTTAATTCCATTAAAGTATGTATGGTACATTAACTCATTATCCTGGCTAATGCTGGTTTTCTTTTAAAAGCTAGATTAACTCTAAAACACACTATCTTAGTTTTATCAACAAATTATTAACAGAAATAGTATAGAGAATCAATCTAAGGAATCAAAGAATTTTTCACCCATCATTTCAAACCTTACAGTATTTGGTTTTTTTGGTTTTTGTGGGGGTTTTTTCCGGTACAGGGGATCAAACTCTTGCATTTTCGAAGCAAGTGCCACTGGGCTAAATCCCCGGCCCTTCAAAACCTTATAAATAGGTTTCAATCAAGAAAATCTTATTTTCTACAAAGTTATTTCACCAGGCTGGGAAAAATAAAACCAAGCTACAAAGACATTATTAATAAAAACTTACAAAGATACCAGTACCATCAAAAACAATGAAACAATCAGATCACTTAAAAACTGTAACATAAAATAACTCTTAGATCAGTAACATACCCAAAGTTGTAATTTAGAGGACATATATAGCTTTAGATTATTTTGTCATTACAATGAAGATTATGAGACTCCTAAGAAAGAAGCTAAAAGAGAACAAAGTAACAAACCTAGAAGTGCATACTGAATACTTGCCCAACTTCCAACATTATTGTGATATCAGGAAAATAAGAAATTGTACATTGATAGGGGACTAATCATTAAATACAAGAATAGTTATTTCATACAATCATTACAGATGATGCAAACTTCCTAATTGTATATGACATATTGATGAGTTTTAAATAAGTCAGAAAACACCATGTCTAGTATGAGCTTTTTATATGTATATAAACATGTATACACACACACACACACATACATTACCTATCTATAGTAAGTACATGATGTTTCATGAACCTTCCTGCTACCTGGAAAAAACTAAGAAGACATTCTGAGGATGGCAGAGCAAGCATATGGTAAGGCCTTAAGTCCTTGACAGCACTGGGGAGTCAATGAATTAGCTCACCCTGGAGCTGATGTGGAAGTTCTAAAGTGAACTAATATAACTTCCAAGGAGATTAAGCCAGTTGAGACAGAATGTTTTGTAATGTGATATTAAAACAATAATTGAAACAGGTACAATAGACATTAAGCAGGATTTTACATTAATCTCTTACCTTAAATGGGTATCTGCCAACTTCAGCCTCGAGCTCTTCAGGAGTGAAAATCTTACCTATGAATCTTTTGGCATCATATATTGTGTTTTGAGGATCGGAATCTGCCAGCTCTAAGCTCTCATATCCCACATACACATCATGGTCGGTAAAGGACACCATGCTGGGTATGCTGATATGCCCACTTTCATCTGGAATCACCTTCACTTTTCCTGTGCCAGGAAAAAACACTCCAACGGAACAATATGTGGTGCCTAGGTCAATCCCAATCACTTTAGGAGTGGGCAATGGTAAATACTGTTGTGCCAAATAGCCAGCCAACAGGAGAGTTAAAACAGCTGAACCTGAAAATAAGCAAATTAAAAGACATGTTTTATCAGACAACTATGATACCCTAAGTAACTTTAGCAAAAACCTCTTAATATTACTTTGTGAAATAAGGCCAATAATATAAATCTCAAAATATTTTATTTTACAGGACTAATAACACTTCTCTCATACATCAAGTTTTCACAATGTAAACTGGCTATAATTAAAAATTAAGTAATGACAAGACAAAAAGCCCCTGTATGTTTATGTAGTTCACTAACAAGAGAATAAAGAAATAAAATGTATACTATTTCCGTAATAATACTGCTGATTAGTGACAGGGAAAACCATCTGAAACAAGAGCCGGATATGGTCGAATTATTTGATCAATTGATATTTAGATTTTATAGTTTTCTAAACCTCTTTAATTATCATTATTAAAAAGGAACTCCATTATTGAAATTCTCACATCAAAAGCTTTGTTATTGTAAAGCTAAAAATTATCTTCGTTAACTCCTTTTCCCTTGCAAATGGAAAAACTGTGTTGCTTAGGTATTAAACTGTCACTTTATAACAAAGTATAGCTAATTTTTTACGCATTTAAACATGAAGAAAGGCCACACCTCCCGCAAGGGGAGAAGTATTAGAGTGGGCAACTCTGATGGCCACACATTCGCAAGCTCCTTGGAGACAAGTTTGGCTCACTGCTGTATCCTCTATGCCAGAAAAACAGATGCTCAGCAAATACTAATTGAGGAAAAACAACTGAATATGAACCGATGGCACGGCTACTGCAAACCTAAGTGAAGACAGACAACACTCTAAATTTAAAATTACTCTTAGTTTCAGGAGGTTGTATTACACACCTGCTTCCACGCACCTTACATACACCCTAAACATCAGTCTGCAGGACTGTATTACTACTGTCAGCTCATCCTCAGCAACTCACTCAAAGAAATGAAACCTAGTGTCAATCGCACTTTCCTCTTGCACCAGATGCATTTCATCACTTTTAGACAGGGAAGGTAATTCCCAACCCTACTTGGTGGAAAGGGTACCGGAGCCTGAATCTCCTCAAACTCAAAATCCTAGGAGTCTACAGCTCCGGATGCTGATGCTGTGCCTCCCCAGTCCTCTACAAAAGGGGTCTTGGGAACCTTCCAGAGGTCCGACTTCAGCCAGTAATTCTAAGCTGAGTTCGGGTTGGAAAGAACATATACCTCAGTTCGAAGGCGCTAAGACAGACACAGCGAGTTCCCTCATCAGGGCCTATCCAGGCCCACCCCTTAAAGCAGCGCCCCCACCTGCGGCGAACATCACCAGACCCTCTGAAAGTCACCTTTCCAACTCTCCTCCTGCTGCGTCATACGGATCCAGGAGGTGAAACAACCACCCCGCCCACTCTGGCCTCCCCACCTCCTCGACGCCCGCCACGGCGAAAGAGAACAGGGACCCGGTGGGCACTGACCTAAGATCGTCATCTCTCCGGCCATTACAGTCCCGGCTTGAGGGGCTCAGGATGACTGTACACTACGCAAGACTCCGCCCCCACACCGCCAGCCGCCCCGCCTTCCCCTGGGAAATGTAGTCCGGTGGCTCTAATGTAGCCCTAGACGCTACCTCTCCAATCACAGCACGGACTTCAACTACCGAGAGGCTGGGCAGTCAGCCGAGCGCCTCCATTCAACAACTGCCAGTTTCAACAAGAGCCGCCTTCCCACGAACAGGCTACAGAACCAATTAGGCTGAGGCGGGAGCCAGTCACGGCAGGACTGGAGTTTACAGTGTATAATCAAACCTGAAAACACCCGAGCCAATTTGAGGTAATAATTCACATCAGCCCGCTCCTGCGCTTTGCATTCTGGGAAGTGTAGTTCTGGCCTTTGCCTACCCCATTGAGGGAGTAGTGGGAGGGTGGGTACCCTCAGGATATTGCTTTCTTTGGTTCTTTCCATAATCAGATACAGTATGAGCCTTTGTTCTTTCATTCTCCCATTTAAAACGTGCTCCTTTGCTTATGATTTAGAGCACAGAGTTTCTCAACACCCGCCCCACCCCGGCCCAATTCCCGTCAGCCTCCCCAGAAGACCCCTTGCCACAGTACAGGTCTAGAGGGAGGTCCGGTCTGGTGTTCCTCCTCCTTGTGTTGGAAGAAACCCTGAAATCTCAACAGATCTTTAGGCCTCTGCTTTTGTTTTGAGATAAATAAATTAAAATTACTGTAATCTTCAATCAGTACAATTTAGCAAGAATACAGGGACAAGCTTTTTTTTCTGTTTCTAACACCAAAGGGGATCATTAAAAAGCAAAACAAACCCCTCAAATTTCTCTTGAATTAAGTCATAAGGGGCCAGAATTGCCTTTATAGACAGGTCCTATAACATGTATTGGCCATTTAGGACATTTGTAAAACGTTTTTCAGTGTTTAGTCTATAATAAAACCCAATTTTCTTACTTTGTGGTTACTTGTAGCAGTTTATGGCTCTTTTTGAGAGTGCTTTTTTCTTTATTGCTGTTAAAATTCATGAAAATTAAGATCCTACAGGCTTGAATCTTCATCCACGTCTTAATATAAATCCCTGATGACAACAGATCAACTTGGTGTGGGAACAAACTTCTGTTAGATTTCCTAATTTTATTTTATTTATTTATTTATTTATTTTTTAGTGCACAAAAAGCAGTTTTATTGGATGCTGGTGCTTTTAAAAATATGGAATGCTTCACAAATTTGCGTGTCATCCTTGAACAGGGGCCATGCTAATCTTCTCTGTATCGTTCCAATTTTAGTATATGTGCTGCCGAAGCGAGCACTCCTAATTTTAAAAATATGTAAATGTTGATGATCATTGGATCTGAATTTTGGCTAATGAAGATTCATTATAATATTCTACTTTGTGTTTAAAAATATGTGAAATATGAAAAGTATATGTCTATAGTGAGTACAATTCAGTAAAAATGTGAATAATTCGTAATTTGAGCAAAGAATTCATGAATGCTGTTAGGTGTAATTATAGTTTTAACAAATGCTGAGCAGTTACTATGTGCCAAACAGTGATAGCCACTCACAAAACCAAAAAGGAGAGAATGGTCAACACACAATTTGATAGGACACACAATTTGATATGTCATAATTTCATTAAAGACAGAAGGCAGAAACAGAATTGAAGAAAGGCTATACTTTTAACTTGAAGAGAAGGTTTGCTGGAAGAGAATATGTCTGAGCAGTGTTTTGAAGACTAACAGTCAAGACATAGGCTAATGACACAATGAGAAGCAGTGGGCTATGGGTATTCAATTACTACACTTGATCTTAGCCAAAAGGCCGAGAAGCGATGGGTATTCAATTACTAAGAGCACAGGAGCAGAAGACCATTTGTTATGGTTTGTATCTAGATGTTCCCCTGAAGCTTCATATGATCATAAGTGAGGCATTTGGAAGATGATTGAATTATAGGGGCATTGTAGCTGACTTGCTCTTAGGATGTAAGGCCCCGTTGGAAGAGGCAGGTCATTGTGGGCATGACCTGGAAGGTATATCTCCTTTCCCAGCTCCTCCCTTGACACGCTCTGTTTCCCTGCAGCTGCCATGATGGGAACAGCTTCTCCTCCACTATTCCCCTCTTCCAAAACCTCCTGCCTTGCAGCCGCCCAACCATGGATTGAAACCTCTACAAAGTGAACCAAAATAAACTTCTTTAAGTTGTGGATGTCCAGCATTGTGTCTCAGCAACGAGGAAAGTATCTAAGACACATCTCTTAGATTAGGAACTCACAGTCATGAATCATGGGGTAGAAATCTGAGAGGCAGGACTGGAGATGTAGATCAGATCAAGAAGATTAGTCATTTGTGCCAGGCACTGCTCATTGCTATTCTCCTTGCAACCCACCCTTCCTCGTTGGTAATATAATCCTCATTTGTTCAAGAAATAGCTAGAAATTATATGTTCTCAGAATGGAAGGTCTTTAACCTTGGGGAAAAATTAAGATTGAATAAATAGGTTATATTAGCTTTCTATTGCTGCCTTAACAAACTGCTGGAAATATACTGGCAACTAACACAAATTTATTATTTTGCCATTCTCAAAGTCTACAACTTGGAGTTTAAAAAAAAGTCCACGATTTTTCAGTTTGTATTTGATGATACATGATATGTTTTGAAATTTTTTAATGCAAAATTAAGTTATGCCTGTTATTTCCCACTGAAACAGAATCTGGGATCATAGAAAAGAGAAGAAAGCACTCAGGCTAATGACACTTGCTCCAGGATCTCTCTCAGAGAACCAATCCAATGAAACAGCTTGACATATTTTTAAGACTTTTTTTAGTTAACAATTGATGATAGAACTGCCAAGTGTCATGTGAAGACTATACTAATATTGCATCAGAGTTGCCAGCTCCTGCAAGCACTGAAAGCCCCAGTGAATTCTCTTTCATAATAATTTTCATAGATTTAACTGTCCTAATGAAGCTGTCAACCATTCTTTCATTCTCTGGACCTACAGGAGCCCATTCAGCCTATATGCATTTGTGTCCTGGACTACAATCCTAAACTGTATTCCCAAAAGTTTTGTTGTTGGAGATTTATCTCTATGTTTTAAACTTGTTAGTTGTATATGGATATTTGATTGAATTAGTTTTTTTTCTTTCTTGAAAGACTAAGTTTTTCTTTGTTTGTATGTTTTTTGCTTAGGAAGCCAAAAAAAAAGTTGAAATTCTAACATCTACTATTTCAGAATGTGATCCTATTTGGAAATCAGTTAATTTACACATGTAATCAGATAATATGAGGTCATACTCAAATAAAAGTGGTCTCTCTTAACCCAATATTATTGATGTCTCCATAAGAAAACAGAAAAACACAAGGAAAATGTTATGTGATTACAAAGGTAGAAATATGAGTTAAGACCAGCAAGCCAAAGAAGGCCAAGACTGTCAGCAAACCAGCAGAACCTAGGAAGAGACAAAGAAAAATTTCCCTACAGGTTTCAAAGTGAACATGCCTCTCTTACACAAAATTTGGATTTGTAGTCTCCAGAGCCATGAGATAATAAATTTCTGTTGTATCAACTCATCCTGTTTGTGGTGCTTTGTTATATCAGTCTTAGAAAATTACACAGTATCTGACAGGAAAAAATATTTAAATGATAACTAGAGCTGGTGGGGGTGGGTGTGTTTACACTTGTTCACTGTAGGCCAGTGATAGCGAGCCTTTTAGGGATAAGTGCCAAACTGCAGCCCAAAACCTACTTATCTCAAAGTCCCAACAATACATTAAACCTGAATACTGAGGTTTTAGTTGAAAAAAACAAAATCAACATTAACATCTTTTGTCTTAAAAGCACAATAACGTGCATACCATAGGTTTGCCACTACTACTATAGGCCTATTTGTGAAGGACCTTTTGAAAGGGTAATATTGATTAAATTATAAGTGCATTATAACTGCATAAGTGTAGTCACAATTCAGTCAGTTTTCCACAAAGATGTGGAAAATTGGACAAAAAAAACATGAAACAACAATTTCAGACCTTGAAAAATACAGAAGGACTGTGAACTGAGAAAAAGGAAAAATAATATAAGATCTATAGTAATTTTGAATTTCCACTCAGAAGAATAATTTAAGGCCTCACTGTAGAGAAGGAAATCTCAAGGAGAGCACAGTGCCCTAAATAAATTGAAGGGACAGATATCAGAGTTAAGGGGTGTGCGGAAGCTGACATTTCAGAAAAAGGCTCTGGAAAGGTGAGAACTATGCGAAACAGCAGAAATCTATTCAAGAAATATTCAAATAGGTGGATACTTCTACCTCATACTATACATACAAAAATTAACTTGAAATCATTGGTGGATCTAAATGTAAAAGCTAAAATTGTAGAATTTATGGAAGTAAGAACTAGAGAAAATATCTATAACTTGAGTCAGATTTCCTGATTAAGGTATAGAAATAATGAACCATCAAACCTTGGTAAATAGAATATCATCTTTAAAAAGGTCTACTCAGAGAAATGAAAAAAATAACAAACAGAAAACTTTCACAATACATATATCTGACAAAGGACTTGCATCTAGAGTATGTGAATACCTCATACAACTAAATAATATGACCAAAGATAGCTACTTAAATACTGTCATAAGATTTTAACAGACACTTTGGAAAAGAAGTACAAATTGTTAATAAATGCATGGACATACAAATTATCAGGGACATACAAATTAAAACCACTGCAAATCACTACAATGGCTCAAATTTACATGTTACTAAGTGTTGGTACAGATTTGGAGCAACTGGCGCTCCTATAAATTACTGACTGAAGGTAGTGTAAAATCTCATATTAACTCTGCAAAAATAGTTTGACACTTTTTAAAATAAGGTTATACATATACTCACCATATGATCTAGCAATTCTACTTAGTACTTAACCAGGAAAAATAAATAACATATCAGCAAACATGCATAAGAATACATGCAGTGACTTAGCGAGACCCTATCTCAGAACAAAAAATTTGTAAAAAAGGCTGAGGATGTAGCTCAGTAAGGTCAGGGTTCAATACCCAGTACCACTCACACACAAAATGGAATATATGCAGT